TGAGGAAGTAAGTGAGGAAGTAAGTGAGGAAGTAAGTGAGGAAGTGAGGCAGTGAGGAAGTGAGTGAGGAAGTAAGTGAGGAAGTAAGTGAGGAAGTAAGGGAGGAAGTAAGGAAGTAAGGGAGGAAGTAAGTGAGGAAGTAAGGGAGGAAGTAAGTGAGGAAGTGAGTGAGGAAGTGAGTGAGGAAGTGAGTGAGGAAGTGAGTGAGGAAGTGAGTGAGGATGTAAGTGAGGAAGTAAGTGAGGGAGGCAGTGAGTGAGTGAGGAAGTGAGTGAGTGAGTGAGGGAGGCAGTGAGGTAACTTCAACTGGGGACGTGACACGAGATAAGTGATTAACGCTGGAGGGAGAGGGTGGGCGCGAGTCCCGACCGGGTCGTGATGGTGCCTCGCTCGGCTCCCATGACGGAGGAGGATCTGAGACATCGGGGGGGGGGGGGGGGGGAGGGGAGGTGGAGGGTGGTCGGGGAGGGAGGGGGTGCAAAGTGCTGGGGGGGATTGTGGGGGTATCAGAGTCGTGGTAGGTTTTGGTTAGCAGAGGAAGACTGATTTTGAGATGGAAGCTTTAACATGGATAGGGGTGAGGGGGGGGGGGGTATGACAGTGGTAGGGGGCTGTGGGAGGGAGGGGGGGGGGTCTGGGGGGACAGGAAGGGAGGGGGGGCCCCGTCCACAGACAGAAGTGGCGGAAAAGGACTGACCCCGCCCCCCACCCCGTACCCCAAAAGCCACGTGGGAATCACTGCGACCACGTGACGCCTATGGGGAGGTCGGGACACGACTAGGAAGATTACGGGGGGAGGGGGGTAGATTTTGGGGGTGCCGGGGAAGGTCGCACAGCTGGAAGAGTGACGTCACCACACGCCCCTGTTATCAATATGATAACACCCCCAACACACACACACACACAGCGAGAGCAGGCCCACCCACCCACCCCCCCATCAATGATCATCACCGCCACCACCACCACCACCACAGCTGTTGACACTTCTGAGACCACCCCTCACCGCGCTGGTCAACACGGGCGTCTGGATGAAGGCGGGCGGCGCCGGTGACATAGGAGCGCAGCGGTGCAGTACAACGGCGACGAGCGTGGCTCGTCTGCACGTGGGGGGGGCGCCCATCCCTGCCGCACATTGGCCAGGCTGTCAGCCCGCTGAGCCGAGCCACCAAGGTCTGGCGAGATCGGGGCGCGTCGCGGCTTGGCGAGGGATTGGTGGATCGCACACGGATGGCGTTGGTGAATCTCCCTTCTTGACCCGTGGGTGGGGATCGAGGAGGAGCCGTCCCCCCCCCCCCCCCCCCCCCCCGGCTCTGCCAGGAGAAGGCTAATCTCCGCCTGTTCAATCCGTCTGTACGCGGGGGAGGGATAGAGCGTTGCCCCCTCGCACGTGGCGTGCGGTTTCCCTCCCCCACCGCGCGTGAACAACAAACGCGACCTCGTCATTCGTTGAGGTGCGAACGCATCTTTGCAACAAATAAAATAATTTAAAAAAAAAAAACCCAATGTAGTGGCGGCAGGACCCTCTTGAATGAGAGTCTGTACGGCTCGCCATTGCCTCTACCTGGATACGTAACTAAGTAAGTATATAATATAGTTTATTATAATCTAACCCTTCTCCCTCCCCGCCGCCCAGCACGCCTCCATCACCACCGGCCTCGCAATCGATTCGGCGAGCCGCGCTCCGATTCGCCGCCCCGTTCGGCGTCGCCAGACCCGCCGTGCCCAATCCCGTGTCGCCTCTCGTTTGCATTACGGATCGATTCACTCGGAAAGGTTTTGCAGGGGAATCGAACCGTGACCACCACCACCACCACCAACCCCGCGGATCGCAAGAAGAGGAAGAGCCGTTGTGGGTGGGGGAGGGGGGGGAGGGAACGGGGGGGGGGGGGAACGGAGGGAGGGGGGGTAGGGAGAGGATTGGGGATTGGTCAGGAGGGAACGAGGAGGCAACAATGGACGAATTCCAGAAATCCACTGCCCCCAGCGGAAGTGACGTCAATTGCAGGTGACGTCACGGCTCCAGCAATGTGGCCTAGGGGAGCGGGGGGCGTGGCGTGGGTCTGCGTTAACCACGTGTGTGTGTGCGTGCGTGCACGCGCGCGTGCTCGCTCGTGTTTATTTACAAGGACACCCGTCTGCAGGACAGGACAAAGCAACCACGGCGCGCTCCCCTCTCCCAGAGAGGACTTCCCGAATTGGCCGACCTGCAATGGCAGAGCCAGAATTTTCTGTTCGGTGGGGGGGGGGGGGGGGGATGGGCAACCCCTCCAGCAATGACAAATGATAGAGGAGTTGTCAGTAAGTAAGGAGTTGTTAGTAAGGAGTTGTCAGTGAGTGAGGACTTGGCCCTTGCTCTCTATTCGACGCGTGTGCGGCGATGCCGCAGACATCGATCGAGGGGTCGAATTGCGAACCGCGTTGTTAGTGATCGGCATCGCGCTCGCTGAAGGTGTCGATGCCTTCAGGGAAGTCGTGGACTCTGTAGACACAACTGGGCACAATTCTGTGAGTCGCTTATAACAACCGCTTTGCCGTTACTTATTGCCGGTTATGGACTCGGACTATTGTCCTATCATCTCATAGAGTCCCTGGCGCGTAATAATCTGCTACACAGTGGCAGTGGGGGTCGCAAAATGCCGATATGTTACTAATAAAACCCCAATGATCCGATCGAAATGAGGGATTTCGATCGGATCATTGGGGGGGGGGGGGGCACGTCGCACCCCCCCTCCCCCCCTCAATGGCTCCGCCAGTGCCGACCTGGCCCATCGGGCACTCGTTCCTTTGTTTGAAACCTGCACGTGGCGTTGGCGGTGGCCATGTTGGTGATCCGATAGGTCACGTGGTGAGCCCTCGCCCCCCCCCCTCCCACCACCTCCTCTTACCCCCCCCCCCCACCCCTCATTTGTCCCAGGGAGGAAGTGAACGAGCGACTCCAGGAAGCCCCTCCTCACGGAAGCCTCTCCCCGACTACCAGAGTCACGTGGTGTACAGCGTCACACGCTCTGTCGTCACGATCCGCCAGGTGTGCTGTGTCCGTTACCCCCCGCCGCTCCCCTTCCCACCCCCCTCCAGGTGACCTGCCCGAGCCAATGTCCCAGTGGCCCAGCGAATCGCGTTTGTGCATCGTTTTTGTTGTTGCTCACTTCGTGACTCCGTGCGTTCGGTGCGGTGGTCGTCATCGCAGCAATCTCTGTATCTCTGTGTTTGTTGTTTTCGTTCTCTCCCGTCGTTTCGGTGGGCTGGGTCACTCGCCCGGCTCTTGCTTGATGATGGACGAGGCTCGCCCCGGCCCCCTTAAGAGTCCTCACTTTGTGTGTGGGTGCCTGTGGCTGCCTGTGGGTTTGTGTGGGGGTTGCCTGTGTGTGGATGACTGTGGGTGCTTGTGGGTTTGTGTGTGGGTTGCCTGTGTGTGGATGACTGTGGGTGCTTGTGGGTTTGTGTGTGGGTTGCCTGTGTGTGGATGACTGTGGGTGCTTGTGGGTTTGTGTGTGGGTGCCTGTGTATGGGTGCCTGTTTGTAGGCGCCTATGGATTTGAATGTGGGTGCCTGTACGTTTGTGTGTGGGTGCCTGTGAGTTTGTGAAAGGCATCCGGTCACCCGGGTGAAGCCCACACACAACACAAAGTGTAATCAATAGTCAACACAAATATGCTGCAATAACCTATTTGTTGCACTGTCTTCTACAGGCATCATCTCGTAACCCTGCAGAGTAATTCAAGTTATACATTATTATTGTAAAGGTTGTATTCTTGTAAAGATGATCATCCACTCCTCTCTAATACCATGAGACCGAGAATGGATCTGTCCGGTGACCTCCTGCCAGCAGAGAGCCTTCGGGCACTTCACGTGGCCTCAAGGTGCACCCAGACTGGCACACGCGCTGTGGTCACGTCACCACCACTTAGTGGCAAACGGCGGTGGAGTTACACGCGTGTGTGTGTGTGTGGGATGATGCGTCCGTGGGGAGCGGTAGTGTAGCGGTTAGCGCGCTGTGCTACGAACCTGGCGGCCGGGTTCGATTCCCGCTCATGGCCAACACCAGTGACGATTATCTTAACCGGTCCTGGGCCTCCCCTAGATTGACTCACCCTCAAATGAGCACCTGGTGCGGTGTGTAAACATCGCCACTAGGGAGACAAAGGCGGCCAGGGGTGGTGTTGACCACCCACCCCCTCGTGGTCCGTGTCAGCCTTCATAGGTGCTCGCGAACAGCACTTGCCCCAACAGTCTGTTCAGGGTATACGGAGGATCTTTGTCTTTGATGACGCGTAACTCCGTTTACGAGAAGGGGGACCGCACCTACCGGGGCATCTCCCTCCTCAGTGTGAGGCCGGGAAATGTTCTGGCAAGGATTATTCAACATCGCCGCCCTTGCCAGGCAGTGCGCTGAGGAGAGGCTTGCGGAGCCCCACTGCGGTTTCAAGACGATGATGCCGCATTCTCTGTTCCGCTGCTACAACAGAGTTGTCAACAAGACCGACGTCTGTTCTGTATTGATCCGATCAAGGCCTTATGATACCATCATTGGGCCAGGGCTCTGGGTTATTCTTTGTGCTTTCGGCATCCCTCACTTTCACAGTCATTAAGGACCTTCATGATGGTGGTGGGCAGGCCCAGGTGAAGCTGCGTGGCCGGGAGTCAGAGCCATTTCCTGTTCACCTTGGGGTTGCGACTAGGGATGTCCTCTGGCCCCCACATTATTGAACGTCTTCTTTGACCACGTAGTGGGAGAAGCTTTCCATGGCTGTAGCAGAGAAATTTCTATCTGGAGCAGCAGATACAAGGGGAGGCTGATCGATGCCCGGGTGCGGTGAAGGAATATGACTGCCCTGCTGGTCACTCATTATGTATGCTGATGACTTGACAAATGCTGCTCATTCTGAGGATTTAGAGCATCTTCTGAACCTGGAGCGTGTTACTCAGAGATTGTGCGCGTGTGCATGTTTGCGTGAGATCATTTGTATGGGCATCGGAGAACGTGTGAACATCTATTTGCGTGTGTGTGTATACATGTGTAAGTCTGTACGTGCACATATGCCAGTGTGTGAACGTATCCTATGGACTTCGTGTGTATGCACGCCTGTATGTCCATAGGTTTAACACGTGTATTTCTCCAGCCTCTGTGCACACCATGTGTATGTATGCATGCATACACTGTGTGTGTGTGTGATTGCATGTCTGTACACTGTGCCTTGCCGACACAGTGGGGAGCACAGCTGATTGCATCTGTTAGTCATCCCAGTCAGTCAAGCCATATCACCTGGGTCTGTCCCGTGACCTCATCCCACCAGCATCAGCGACAACCTTCCACACTTCTCGTGACGGCCTCTGGGACGCACCTAGCCTGGCACAAGCGCCGTGGCGACGTCACCGCCACTTAGTGGCGAACGGCGGTTGTTGCGAGTGATAAAGATGCACTTGTGCATGACGAGCGCGTGAGTGCGCACTGCCTCTAACTATTCCAGAGCTGCCCAGGCACGAATTTAAATCCACCAGAGATTCAGCCTCAACAACCTCCTCCACCTCCCCAACCTCGGCCCCACCAACCAATCCCCGTCCGCCTCTCGTCACGTCAACCTCGCCATACCCATGTCGCCCACCGCCCCTTCGTCCATGAACATCGCTCTGCTGACCGCGCCGCCGACCCCTCCGCCTCCTCCGCTGCCACCTCCTCCTCCGTTGCGCCCGTCATTCTTATACAGGATGGTCCCGTTGGTGGGGAAGATCGTCCGAATGGCCACTGCCTCCTTGTGCAGGCCGCACCGCTCTCCGTGCCGGCAGCAGCAGACGCCGACCCCGGACACAATGTGGGGCCTCCCGCCACCGATGACGCCGGCGGCGCCGGTCGCTGCCGATGTGAGCGGGACGATTTGGAAGTTGGCGCGAGGGCCGATCTCCAGGATGGAGTTGTCCTTCTTGGTGCCGCTCTCGACGTAGTCGTCGGCTTGCTTGCGCGGGCGCCCATAGCCTCGCGCGGAGCCAATGCCACCGCTGCCGCCGCTACCGACACCACTGCAGCCACCAGCGAATGAACCGGCTCCAAGCCCGAGTCCGTCCTCGCCTCCCATCCTACCGACCGCCGTTCCCCCGACCGTTGCCCCAATTCTGCTCCCTTCTCCTCCTCCGGCACCGCCTCCTCCTCCCTTCCTCCGCTTCCCGTGCGGCCTCCCGGTCCGGTGCACGAAGCAGCAGGCGCTGGCGAGCAGCGCCACGAGGAGCACGGAGGCGGCTGCGCCACCGACGATGGCGGCGAGGGGCAGCGTCAAGCCCTGCGAAGGCTCACCGCCACCTTCCAGGCCCGGCCGCGGGCCTGCGGGCCCTTCCCCCTTCTTCTTCTCCTCCTCCTCCTCCTCCTCCTCCCCCTCCGCCTCCTCCCCCTTGCCTTCTCCTCCTCCTCCCCCGCCACCATCACCACCATTGGGGAACTCGGAGATCCTGGCGGTGACGGGAGCCATGCCCGCCGTGGCATTCACATCCGCGCACGTCCTGCGGGACGGCGGGGGGCGGCGGCGCCCCGCGCCCGGTGGGGCCGCCGCAGCGGCGCTAGGCACAGCGTGTAGAGGGCAGCCCTCTCCAGGCCCGTGACCACGTAGCGCGAGCGGTCGGCCGCCACCAGGGCCTCGCGCACCGGCGCCACCGCCGGCCTCCCGGGGCTGCCGACGCCCTCCCGGTGGCCGCGCGGCGATGATGGCGGCGGCGGCGGCGGCGGCGGCCGGCGCTGCGGCGGCGATTTGGACCACGTGAGCTGGTAGGCCGTCACGTCTGGAGGGCCGTGCCAGCCCACCACCACGCTGCCCTCACCCGCCGGGTGGACGGTCATGGTGAAGTTCCCGCCGCCGACACCGCCACCGTCGTCGTTGTTGTTGAACGCGGCGCCTCTTCTCCCGCCGCTTCCGCCGACTTTACCGCTCGCTCCACCTTTCCCGCCACCGGCACCGGCACCGGGACCACCAGCGCCACCGGTACCGGTGGCGGACTCGGTGAGGGACTGTGACGGAGGCGGTTTGTCGGTGGCCAGGGCCGACTCGCCGCCGTCGGACGGCGAGGGGCGAGATGCCTCCCCGGGCAGCCGTGGCCCTGACTGCTGCTGCTGCTGCTGCTGCTTCGTGAGCCGCGACTGATGCCTCCCGGCTCCCCCTCTGGCGCCGTCGCCGCCCCCCGACCTCGCGGAGCACGAAAGCGACTCGGGCGCCAGGTCCTTGATGGACATCCCGCGCACCTCGTCGGGCCCCTGGCACATGAGGCCGCGGGCGTTGACGGGCCGCGAGTTGAGCCAGCGGCGGACCCACTCGATGGCGCAGTCGCAGCGCCATGGGTTGTTGCGGGCCAGCAGCTGCGCCAGCGAGTCGAGGCCCTCGAAGGCGCCGGGCTGCAGGCGGCTCAGGTTGTTGCTGGAGAGGTCGAGTCGCCGCAGCTGCCCGAGGCCCGCGAAAGCGCCCGCGGGGATGCGGCTCAGCTGGTTCTCCTGCAGGTGGAGGCGCTGGAGGCTGGCGCCGGGCAGGCCGGAGGGCGGCGCCGCCAGGGAGTTGCGCGTGAGCGACAGCTCGGCCAGCGAGCCCAGGCGGCGGAAGGTGTCCGCCGACAAGGCGCCGTCGCTCAGAAGGTTGCCATCGAGGACGAGGCGGCGGAGGCTCGCCAGGCCCGCGAACGCCTCGCCATCGATGTGGCCGATCCGGTTGTCGTCCAGGCGGAGCTCCTCCAGGCCGGTGGGGAGGCGCTCCGGCACCTGGAGGGGGGAGGGGGAAGGGGCGGGGTAGAAGTGTGGTTGGCTCCGTTAGCGGCGGTGGTGGTGGGGGAGGTGTTGTTTGTAGTTGTATAGTCTGTCACGTGCTAGACTCACATAGCGAGTAGTCTGTCACGTGCTAGACTCACGTTGTAGTTAGTAGTCTGTCACATGCTAGACTCACGTTGTAGTTAGTAGTCTGTCACGTGCTAGACTCACGTTGTAACGAGTAGTCTGTCACGTGCTAGACTCACGTTAGAGTGAGTAGTCTGTCACGTGCTAGACTCACGTTGTAGTGAGTAGTCTGTCACATGCTAGACTCACGTTGTAGTTAGTAGTCTGTCACGTGCTAGACTCACGTTGTAACGAGTAGTCTGTCACGTGCTAGACTCACGTTAGAGTGAGTAGTCTGTCACATGCTAGACTCACATAGCGAGTAGTCTGTCACGTGCTAGACTCACATAGCGAGTAGTCTGTCACGTGCTAGACTCACGTTGTAGTGAGTAGTCTGTCACGTGCTAGACTCACGTTGTAGTTAGTAGTCCATCACGTGCTAGACTCACGTTGTAACAAGTAGTCTGTCACGTGCTAGACTCACGTTATAGTGAGTAGTCTGTCACGTGCTAGACTCACGTTGTAGTTAGTAGTCTGTCACGTGCTAGACTCACGTTGTAGTTAGTAGTCTGTCACGTGCTAGACTCACGTTGTAGTGAGTAGTCGGTCAAGCACTAGACTCACGTTGTAACGAGTAGTCTGTCACGTGCTAGACTCACGTTGTAGTGAGTAGTCTGTCACGTGCTAGACTCACGTAGTTAGTAGTCCATCACGTGCTAGACTCACGTTGTAACAAGTAGTCTGTCACGTGCTAGACTCATATAGCGAGTAGTCTGTCACGTGCTAGACTCACGTGTAGTGAGTAGTCTGTCACGTGCTAGACTCACGTTGTAGTTAGTAGTCTGTCACGTGCTAGACTCACGTTGTAGTTAGTAGTCTGTCACGTGCTAGACTCACGTTGTAGTGAGTAGTCGGTCAAGCACTAGACTCACGTTGTAACGAGTAGTCTGTCACGTGCTAGACTCACGTTGTAGCGAGTAGTCCATCACGTGCTAGACTCACGTTATAGCGAGTAGTCCGTCACGCGCTAGACTCACGTTGTAGTTAGTAGTCTGTCACGTGCTAGACTCACGTTGTAGCGAGTAGTCCGTCACACGCTAGACTCACGTTGTAGTTAGTAGTCCGTCACACGCTAGACTCACGTTATAGTGAGTAGTCCATCACGTGCTAGACTCACGTTATAGTGAGTAGTCTGTCACGTGCTAGACTCACGTTGTAGTGAGTAGTCTGTCACGTGTTAGACTCACGTTGTAGCGAGTAGTCCATCATGTGCTAGATTCACGTTGTATCAAGTAGTCCATCACGTGCTAGACTCACGTTGTAGTGAGTAGTCTGTCACGTGTTAGACTCACGTTGTATCAAGTAGTCCATCATGTGCTAGACTCACGTTGTATCAAGAAGTCCATCACGTGCTAGACTCACGTTGTAATGAGTAGTCTGTCACGTGTTAGACTCACGTTGTAGTGAGTAGTCCATCACGTGCTAGAATCACGTTGTAGTGAGTAGTCTGTCACGCGCTAGACTCGCATTGTCACGAGCAGTCCATCACGCGTTAGACTCACTGCGTTACAGCGGGCATGGTGTGCGTTAAGCAGAAACTGTCCATGAAAGAAAAACCACGTTAAAGCGAAAACAGGGAGTTACTGCACGTGATAGACTACTCGCTACAACGTGAGTCTAGCACGTGATGGACTACTCGCTATAATGTGAGTCTAGCACGTGACAGACTACTAACTATAACGTGAGTCTAACACGTGATGGACTACCCGCTACAACGTGAGTCCAGCACGTGATGGACTACTCACTATAACGTGAGAGGGATAAACGGAGGTGAGCATGTATGTCTGTACAGACAATTCACATACACAATACACACATCAATGCACACAATACACGTTAATACACGCACACATACGATGCACACAATACACAAGACACACACAACACACACACGATGCACATCATACACAAAATACACACACAATGCACACACAATAGAGACTATACACACCTCCGATTAGCACGGTTGGCTACGTATGGTGCAAAAGAAGATAAACATACATACAGAATACACAGTACACACACACACGCGATGCACACAATGCACATACAATACACAAAATATTTACATATAATTTACACAATACACAATATACACACACTACACATAATACACACGTAAATACACACACAATAACCCCGCACCTCCGATTGGCTCGGTTGGCTTGAGCGGTGCGAAATAAGTTCGACATACAGTACATGCACAATACACACCACATGCAAAACACACACAATACACACATATACCGAACACAATACACACGGTGTACAAACACAATACACACACCACACAAAATACAAACACTCAACACACGGAGAGCGACTCATCACCCTTCATCACGTTAACAGGGCGGTCATTTGTAACTGAGACGGGGTTATCTCACTCGCGTGCTCTGTGGGCCCGACGAACTCGATCAACATCGTCAGAGATCGTGGCCTCGTCCGTGATGTTTACTCACGGAACTTTGCATCAAACGCTCCCGAAATCACGCAGTGGCGCCTCTTGGCTGGCCATCGTACAAAGACGGTGATCACCGCATCGAAAACACTTTTAGAGGCGCTTATGCGGCCGACTGGAAGCCACTGAAGCTACGCACTTTAAAATTATTATCTCGATTGACAAACTCGTTCCTTTAGAACTTTTGCATTTACTTTGGTGTGCTTGCCCTCCGCACCTCCGATTAGCACGGTTGGCTAAGTATGGTACGAAAGAAGTTCAACATCCATGCATACAAATGAGACAGATCGCTTCTCGTGAGAATTCATTCCCTCTCTTCCCTCAGACAGCTGGATTCGAGAGCCTTGACCCTAAACACGGCCCTTGACCCTGAACACGGCCCTTGAACCTCAACACGGCCCTTGACCCTACACACGGCCCTTGACCCTAAACACGGCCATCGACTCTACATACCCTCGAGACTGAACACAACCCTCGATCCTACACATGGCACCTGACCCTAAACATACCCTCGACCCTGAACATGACTCTCGCCCCTACACACGGCCCTCGAGTCTACACATGGCCCTCAACCCTACACACGGCCCTCAACCCTACACACGGCCCTCAACCCTACACACAGCCCTCGAGTCTACACATGGCCTTCAACCCTAAACATGGACCTCGACCCTAAACATGACCCTCGTCCATGCACATGTTCCTCAACCCTACGCACGGCCCTCTACCCTGAACATGTCCCTCAACCCGAAGCACGGCCTTTGACCCTAAACATGACCCTCGACCCTAAACATGGCCTTCGACCCTGAACATGGCCCTCAACAATGAACACAACCCTCGACCCTAAATAGGGCTCTCGACCCTAAATAGGGCACTCGACCCTACACACGGCCATCAAAGCAAAACATGGCCCTTAACCCTACCTACGGCCCTCGAGCCTGAACACAACCCTCAATTTTACACACGGCCTTCGACCCTGAAGACAATCCTTTATTCTAAACACGGCTCTCGACCGTAAACACTGGCCTTGACACTAAACACGGCCCTCAACTCTGACCACTGCCCTCGACCATAAGCATGGCCCTCAACCCTGAACACAATCCTTGACCGGAAACACAACCATTGACCATGAAAACAGCCATAGACCCTCAACACAGCCCTCGAACATAGACAAGGCTCTTGGCCTAAAAAATTGCCCTCGACCCTGAACATGGCCCTCGATCCTAAACACAACCCGTGACCCTAAACACAACCAGTGACCCTAAACACAATCCTTGACTCTAAACACAAACCTCGACCCTAAACACGACCCATGACCATAAACATGACCCATGACCCTAAACACGACACTCGAGCCTCCACGTGACCCTCGAACGTAAAAGCAACCCTCATCCCTAGACACGGCCCTTAACCCTATACACAACCGTTGACCCTCAACATGGCCCTCGACCCTGAACATGGCCCTCAACAATGAACCCAACCCTCGACCCTAAATAGGGCTTTAGACCCTAAATAGGGCACTCGACCCTACACACGGCCATCAAAGCAAAACATGGCCCTTGACCCTACCCACGGCCCTCGAGCCTGAACACAACCCTCAATTTTACACACGGCCTTCGACCCTGAAGACAATCCTTTATTCTAAACACGGCTCTCGACCGTAAACACTGGCCTTGACACTAAACACGGCCCTCAACTCTGACCACTGCCCTCGACCATAAGCATGGCCCTCAACCCTGAACACAATCCTTGACCGGAAACACAACCATTGACCATGAAAACAGCCATAGACCCTCAACACAGCCCTCGAACATAGACAAGGCTCTTGGCCTAAAAAATTGCCCTCGACCCTGAACATGGCCCTCGATCCTAAACACAACCCGTGACCCTAAACACAACCAGTGACCCTAAACACAATCCTTGACTCTAAACACAAACCTCGACCCTAAACACGACCCATGACCATAAACATGACCCATGACCCTAAACACGACACTCGAGCCTCCACGTGACCCTCGAACGTAAAAACAACCCTCATCCCTAGACACGGCCCTTAACCCTATACACAACCGTTGACCCTCAACATGGCCCTCGACCCTGAACATGGCCCTCGACCGTAATCATGGCCCTCGACCGTAATCATGGCCCTCGACCCTGAAAATGACCCTGAAAATGACCCTGAACACGGCCCTCGACCGTAAACATTGCTCTCGACCCTAAACACGCCCCTCGACGCTGAACACGGCCCTAGATCCTAAACACAACGCTTGACCATAAACCCAACCCTTGACCCTAAACACATCCCTCGACCTTGAACATGCCCCTCGACCATGAACATGGCCCACAACTCTAAAAACGGCCCTTGACCCTACAC